AGGCTTTGAAAGGAACCAGCACTCACCTATGTCGCAGTGCACCACCAGGGGTCTGGAATGATCCCCGGTCTCCAGCGGGCGATATTCCACTGTCACTTGCATGGATTCACCAACCCCGAGGTTTCCCGAGGCTGGACTGACAGTGAAAGGGCTGCAAGACCAAGAGAGAGATCAGGACTCGTGGGGGAGGTTTGGGGACGATATTGCAATATCTAGTTCACTTCAGCTGACTTGTGGAAGCAAGGAGCAAAGCAACCACAGTCAGCAGAAGACAGACAGAAAACACAGCATCAGCAACAGCTACTGACTCTCTTCTGAGGAGATCCAGCCCTCAGAAGATCCTGTAGGATAAAATGAACTCATCTCCCCCATACTCTGCAATGAATAGTTTGACAAAAATTTAGCACAGAACAAAATAAATTTTAAAAAGCGCAGAAACACAGGAACTTCAGAGTATTTTAAAAGAAATCTGAATGAAATCAGCTTTGACTAACAGGAACAGCACAGGCTGTTCACAACACAGTTCACGTTGGGCATCTTATGAGGGGCCCCCTGATATGCCACAAGCTTGTGGCCTCCTAGAGAATGGGTCTATTTGGCTGACAGTGGTAGGCAGATGTTTCAGAAGGTGGTTGTGCTCAGGAGGGTGCAGACCAACTACTAACACGTTCTAGCAGTCCCCAGGAGATCTGGGAGACACAAAGTTCAGGGGTTGCATCCTGATGAGAACACCAGATGCAACAGCAGACCCCACACTCCCTGCCCATTTCCAGCTGTGGCTGCAGTGCAGCAGCTCAGCTGCTCTTGGCTCCTTTGGGATACTCTTTCCCAACTCTGCCATCACCCAAAGGTGTTTTGCACTAAGACAGATGAGCTGCTTTACCTCTCAGTGCTGAGGTTGAAATGGGCTTCCAGGTTACCGCTGTTGTGAACCAGCAGAGTCTTCTGGGTGCTGTAGTTGACTGGGCACTCCGAGAAGTCCAGCTGGTCAGGGAAGTCCAAGATTGGGCGGGCACCAATGGCCCGGATTGGCACAGTGAGAGTTTCCTTTTTGGTGGTGCAGACAAGTTCGTGGAAATGATCTTGCAGGAAAAGATCCTGGCACAAGAGAGGGCATTGAGTGTCATCCCCATGGCAGAAGAAAAAGTGCTGTTTTCTGTGAGCCTTTTTGGGCATGAATTTACCTCTTCCACCCCAAAAATGACCACTAATTCATACTAATAAGGGCTGTAGAACAGACCATGTGAAAATCATCATTTTTGCTGCATTCCAGTGGGGAAAAAGAAACCCTCTGGATCTTTTTGTTCCTCTGGTATTTTCCATATTTAAACCCCTTCCACTGAGCCTAGAGATGGCTCAACATCAACACCCCTCCCTGTCAGTTCCCTCCTGTTCCATCTGCCTCTTCCCTTGTGAACATTCAAGAACAGGCATGGAGGGAAAGCAAATCCCTCTAGGCCCAGCTGCAGGGACTGGCAGCACCACGCCGTGCCAAGGTGTGACCAGCTCCAGGCTGCCTGCCCCCAGCCCAGAGCCGACCTCACAGCACGGGGTGGGCTATAAACCAGTGTGCAGCAAATGCCCTGGCTTTAGAGAGGATGTTCCTCCAAACTCACCTTGTTCCCCTTAGGGATGAAAAGGATGTTTATGGTACAAAACGATCCCGCTGGCACCTGATGGCACACACCATTGGGACCGACCAACTTGAAATAAGGTGAGCTGTCCATGGTGACCGTGACCAGCTGAGTCACCTGCAGGAAAGACACAAAACAGTGATTTTGCCACTTGTGGAAACAGGAGGAGACCTGGGTGTGCCCTGGTGACAGCCTTCCTTGACCACTTTTCCAAAGGACTTTCAGTCTGGAGGTACAAGCACAGGATACACAAGGGTGAACTTGAATCCCTTCTGCCTGGGCAAAGCAGCTTGGCCAGAGGCAGCAGGGGAATGCCTGCTGGGAAGGAAGGTCAGGCACCAGCAGTATGGAGATGGAACACCTGAACCAAGTCATTCTCATTTGCAACAAGCCCAGAAAATCTGCTTGCTTCTGCCTGCACACAGCCATGCAGCCCTGTTCCAGAGGGAGAGTGGGCTACCTGAAGGCAAACTGGCACATTATCCTGGGGGAAGGAAGAAATTCTCTTCTAACAGACTGAGTTGGAGTGGGGAAGTCCAGCTGTGGAGAGAAAGTCCTATGGGCACACCAGCAAGAGGAGGCCAGACACTTGGCCTTACTGGGAAACTAAATAGCAAAAGGAAGAACACAGAAGAACAGAGGCAGCTAAACAGGCTGAGAGAGGCAGAGATTCCCACCAGGAACCAACAAGATTAACCAAGGAGCCACAGGACATGGTGGTGGGCACTCAAGGGGAAGCATGAGAGCAAGTGAGAACTGCACAGCCTTCCCATCAATCCAGGGCTCTCAAGGGAAAGAAGTTCCTTTGGGTGAGATACCAGCAAGGCAGGGCTGCAATCAGGGGAGAATCCTCAGCACGGGAAAATTTCCACCATCTTGCAAATCCAAGGTGGTGATTCTGGATGTGCTCCAGCTGATACTTGCTCTGCTCTACACCACGGGGATTACACCACTCTCCTCTTTTTCTAGCCCAGTGTTAAAGCTCCACATCCCAGCACTTACCTTGTCTCTGTTCATCAGAAGAAGGGGCATTTCACAGACCTCTCCAAGGACATAGTTTTGAAACACCACCTCAGATGGGCTTGGCTCAAGGAAGGTCTTGGCCTTGCCGAGTGGCCAGAGCTGGAGAGGCAAGAGAGAGCAGGGAGAGGTTCAGCTGCTGGGAGGAAGGTTCGTGAATGAAACTCCTCTGTTGGTCCCCGGTGAAGTACAGGCTCTTGGTGACCAGGTCTGCCCAGCTGCCACTGGGGGAACAGTAGCTCACCCACCTCTGCTCTGAGCTGATCAAAAGCTGCTGCACCACACTGAGCAGGCTCAAGTTGAGCAGCTCTTTTGGCAGGTGTTTCTCCTGCTTTCCTTCTCCAAAATGCCAGGCAGCGCTTACCTCCAGCACAGCCCACAGCTAATGGGGTCCCAGAGCTCTGGGCACTGACTGAGCACTCAAGCAGTAAGTGAAACCAAGAATTTACATCAGACTCCATAGCAAACAATTTTTGGATGACCTTTACTCTGAGGCAGGGAGACTGAGGCCCACACAACTCCAGACTCTAGAGCTTAGACACCAGTAAGAAGAGAACCTCGAGCACCAGAGGAGCTGGAGGGCAAAAAGAAAGTACCGCAGCAGATAGGAGTAGGACAAATGAGGTGAATGCTGGGTGAGGATAAGGTTCAGCTCTTTCTTCAGCAATACCAAGCAACTTGAGTAAGACTGGAGTTGTGTTCAATTGGGAGTAATTACCTCAGGCCCTCAGCCTTCAAAGGCCAGCGCTGCCACTGTGGAGGGAATCCTATGACCCCCAGCATTTGTCAGCGGTGACACCAAAGCAAGAGGTGGCTCTTTGAGTGAGACAGGGGAAAATGGCAAGCTCGTGCCCCTGTGTCCTGCCCCAGCCTTCCCCCGGTATCGTGCCTTTGCGATGGTAGCTGAAGTGCAGCAAAGCCCACCAGCTTCAGCAGAAATTGGTGGTGTTGGCTCAGCACAGATCAAGACTCCAGCATCTCACTAGGAGAAAATGTTTTGCCTTTGCCCCAGCAGAAGGAACTCCACCACCACCAGCAGTTTGGAATGACAACAGGACCTGGACACCGAGGTGTTTCAATAAACTGGAGGCAAGGCACGCAGCCTCTTCAAATGTCACATCAAACAGCAAGGAAAAAGGCAGGAAAAGGCTACCTTGTTCTTGGAGCTCGCACTCTTGCCTGGCTGCTGGACAGTCTTGGGCAACTTTGTCTTCGGAGGGCTGTCCAGCTTCTTCCTGAACCTGAGACCCACCTCTTTGAAGTCAAAGAAGGTCAGCTGAAAGGCAAAAAAACAAGCAAGAGCCTCAGAAATGCCCTTGTTCAGAAAGGCTTTTCTTGTTCAAGTGGCCCTGATGAATCATTTGTGATCACAGCCACCAGCACAGTGCTAGAAGTCCTGGAAGTTACTTGCTGAAATATATAACAACAGAAAATTAATGGTATAGAGCAGAACACACTTGCTCTAACCAGGTGCTCATGAGGCCTCATTAGCTTCTCCATGATTTGATGTGACACATGTGGGGATTTCTGCTCTTCGGGCATTTGTGTCCTCTTTACTTTCATTGGATTGAGTCAGTGAGCTTTGCAGAGAGTGGCAAACTCCCTTAACTCCCTTCTTGTCCAAGGCTCACAACCCCCAGCATGTGAAGATGGCACTGCTGGCTGAGTCTGAGGGAAGCAGAAAAGCAGCGTTGTGCCAAGACCAAGGTGCAGAGGAATAGGTCCACAGTTCTCTCTTTTTAATTAGCACAGGTTTTCTCTCTGTCTGGCCTCACAGTCCCACCCACAGAAGAATACAGAGAGATGTCCTTGACAGAGCCTCAGCACTGGGTCATCTCCAATCAAGTGAGCTCCAGTCAGCAAAGGGCACATTTTTGTGGGTGGGTAGGAGGAGTTGCCCCAATTCCACTGCTGCCTGCAGGGCTGGATCTGTGCTCCACACAGGAGATGAGATGGAACAACTGGTTAGGAACCTGTTCCGGGGGGACCAGCCCCATCTCTCAAGGCTTCAGGCAGAGTTTGAGCTGCCCATCACATGCCCAGGTGCCTGGAGGGCAGGTGTGGTCAGAACAGCACAGTGAGTGTGCCAACCTGACAGAAGGAATTCCTGCCCACACACAGGGGACAGAATGAAGCACAAGCTCATGTTCAGCTTTACATTTGTTTAACTTGGTTCCTGTGGCACAGCCAGGCAAGACTCTGGACTGTCCCTGGCGCAGCATGACACCCCTGCCAACAGAAGCACGGCCCTACAGGCTGGGGAAGGGGTCTGTAGCTTCATGGTGCTGCTGGACAGCAGGAAGGGCTGGGAGAAGAGGGACAGACAGAAAATGGGAGGCCACAGCAGGTACTTACACGCTTAGGTTTCTCAGGCTCTTTGGCTGGTTTTAGAGGCCGAGCTAGGACCTCTCTCTTCGGGAATCCAGAAGCCATTGTGAAGGATGTCGTGGGTGGATAAGTGGAACAGTGACCGTGTCTCAGCTCACCTGGAAGGAGCAACAATGTAATGCTGAAAATCCAGGATACCATTCCTGGCAAACCCAAAGATAGAGTGGTGCTGAAAATTTTATATTATTTGAAAGTAGCTAAGTGCTTGTATGGCATAAGTAGCTAGAATTGCTAGGCCGGAAGTTGGACTTTATTTGAACTATATGGCTATGTTGTGTAATTCAAAGATGGATCATAGTGAAACCTGAAGCTAACATTCTGAACATTAATAATAGTTAGAACAGACAAAGCTGTAGCTTAAATATTACTTAAAAATTAATAGCTATTAAAAGCCCAAAGCTTGTGGTATAGGAACTGTAACAACCTCCTCTTCTCCAGGCCAGCCAAGCCCAACTCCCTCAGCCACTCCTCCCAGGACTTACCTCTAGATTCTGCGTCTGCTCTGTCCCCCCTCCCTGGACTAAGTCCAGGGAGGGAGAATCTTTACTGCAGTGAAGGTCTAAACAGCAGACACAGTACTTTTTTTGCCTGTAGAGAGACATAAAGGGATTTGATGTGATTATTTCACTGAACCCAAGGGCAACTTCTGATAGGTACCCTTGTACCCGTAAATATAGATGTTCCCATCTCTGTGCCTGCACGTGTGGGAATTGATCATGGTCTATGTAGTAAGCAATAGAGTGAACCTTGCCATCAAACTCTGCTAGGTCCTGAGGAGACACCATTAAAGGGCCGTGAGCCATTAGAAATGCAACATATGGGGGAGCAGGACCACGTCAGACTTTATCCTAGTGGCAGTTCTTCTCCAGCACCCTTATCCTACAAGAAGCTATAGGTAAACAA